GCAGCACATGTGAAAGGGATCTAGGTGTTCTGGTTGATCACAAGCTAAACATAAGCCTGCAGTGCGATGTGGCTGTGAAGAAAGCTAATGCAATCTTAGGATGCATTAACAGAAGCATTGTGTCCAGATCAAGGGAGGTGGTAGTTCCGCTCTATTCTGCTATGGTCAGGCTTCACCTGGAGTACTGTGTCCAGTTTTGGGCACCACATGTTAGGAAGGATGTTGACAAGCTCGAGCGTGTCCAGAATAGGGCAACCAGGATGGTGAGAAGGTTGGAATCCAAGTCTTATGAGGAAAGGCTGATTGGGTATGTTTAGCCTGGGAAAGAGAAGGCTTAGAGGGGACATGATGGCAGTCTTCAAGTATTTGAAGGGCTGTCATTTAGAAGATGGAGCAGATCTATTCTCTCTTGCTCCGGATTGCAAGACTAGATCTAATGGGTGGAAATTACAAGGGAGTCATTACCAGCTAAATATCAGGAGAAACTTCCTAACTGTAAGAGTGGTTGAGCAGTGGAACAGTCTGCCTCGGGAGGTGGTGGGTGCTGCTTCGCTGGACGTTTTCAAGCGCAGGCTGGACGACCATCTTTCGGGAATGTTGTAGGGCTATCTTTCGGCTATGCTCCTGCAGAGTGCAGGGGGTTGGACTAGATGACCTGCAAGGTCCCTTCCAACTCTAACATTCTATGATTCTATATCTCCTCCCATGCAAAACTACATAGAAGGTATACTGGAGAGCCTGTACTTCAAATTTTAGCCTAGGCCAACTAACCTTCCCATGTGGCAGAACCTTTTTGCAGGTTGATCCGGAGCTCTTGAATGCCCTCCCTCAGGTAAGCCATCTGGCTCCATCTTTGTGGAAGTTTCACAAGGAGGTGAAAACCCTCTCTTCTTCCATTGCTCTTTCATACCTCAGTTTAGTCTCTGGGGTCGTTTTCCTTGTTGCTTTGCTGCTCCTTTTTCATTTGGATAATATTGATGCAAGTGATAGCTTTGTTATTTCCTGTGTTATACAGCACTTTGGGAGCTCTGAAAAAAGCCAACTTAAAAGCATCAGTAAGCAAACAGTCATTAAAGTAGAGCTGGTGATGGAGCTGCCTGCAAAGAAGATCTAGGAGCTTCTTGGTCTGGTCCATGAATGCCCTTTCTTGTATTCCTGTGCAAGAGTGCCAAGTCAGGTGCACTAAGCACAAATTAGTTCTGCCTTACCTGCTGAGACATCCTGAATATGCACTCTTTCTTGCTAAATTTAACTCACACCAGCAGGCTGCTGGTAGTAGACCACACAAGGCTGACATCAGCCCAGCTGGGACTTGATTTATCAAATTTCCCTTTCTTTTTTGCTGTCAATTGCTCACAGTCCCCTGCGGAGGAAACATCACTGTACACAATGGCACCATCTACTCCCCCGGCTTTCCCAATCAGTACCCCAATTCCCAGGAGTGCTTGTGGCTGCTCACGGTGTCGGTCGGGTATGGCATTTTCCTCAACTTCACTCTGCTGCAAACAGAGCCATACAATGATTTCATCACTGTCTGGTAAGTGGGACTGGGTGGACTGAGAGAATACCAGCGGGGCCCAAACAATTGCCCAGGGGTTGAGGAGATGGTGGGCCATAGAGTGTGGAGGATCAGAACTGCTCTTACACAAGGTAGTGGTGATGAAGGTGTGTTTTGAAACTTCAGCCTCATATGTTTATAATCTGGCATCTTGTTCAGGTGGTTGCTGGCATAAGGGGCCAGCTAGAACAAGTCTACGAGCTACTTAGAGGGAACTCATCTGCCCTCTCCCAACAGGTAGATATGTTAATGTTATTTTGACATAAGGAATAGCCCAGACTAGTCCAAGTGCATCAGAGCTTGGAAGCTAAGCAGGGTCAGCCACAGTTAGTACCTGGGTGGAAGACCAACAAGGAAGACCTGGGTTGCTGCTAGGGGTGCGCAATGTTTTTCTATCCTAAATTTTTCAGTTCGGGTATATTGGACCTGGGGGGGGAGGGAAGGTATTTCTGGAAAATCCCAAGGGGGGTGGGTCTAATAGACCTGAACTGAAAAATACTGGGTGTTGCTTTTTTTTAAAAAAGCCAGCCTGATCTTGGGCCTGGCTTGGCTTCTCTTGCAGCCCAGTTTAAGCCGTGCTGCAGGAGAAGCCAGACCCAAGATCTGCTGTGTCATGAGGAGATTGCTTTCCATGGTGTGCTGATCCTGGCTGAAATGGCTTCTCCTGCAGCCCGGTTTAAACCACGCTGCAGGAGAAGCCAGACCCAGGATCTGCACGCTGCCGGGAGCTATCTCCCCACTGCATGCAGATCCTGGCTGAGATGGTTTCTCCTGCAGCCCCAGTTTAAACCGCACTGTAGGAGAAGCCAGACCCAGGATCTCTGTGCCACGGGGATATTGCTCTCCATGGCATGCTGATCCTGGCTGAGATGGCTTCTCCTGCAGCCCGGTTTAAATGGTGCTGCAGGAGAAGCCAGCCCCAGGATCTGCTGTGCTGCGAGGAGATCCTGGCTGGGATGGCTTCTCCTGCAGCTCAGTTTAAACCACGCTGCAGGAGAAGCCAGTCCCAGGATCTGCATGCCACCAGGACCAAATCAGGCTGCACAAGAAGCCAACCCCAAGCCAAGCCAGTGGGAACAGCCTGCTCCCCCGGGACTGCAGGGACTGCAGAAAAAGCCTGACAAACAACAACTCCCTCCTCTCTGCTGTTTTCGGATCTCCTGGTAATTCCCAAAAATATCCAGGATTTTTTCAGGACCCCCCCCCCCCCAGTTTTCCTGAGAAAACCCAGATACATTTGAGATGCCAAAATATACCTGGAAAATAACAATAAGGTATTTTCCAGGTATATTTTCAGCTCAGGTAGATCCAAATGCACACCCCTAGTTGCTGTGCAGAGCAAGGCAATAGCACACCACCTCTGCTCATCTCTTGCCTTGAAAGCCCCATGAGGTGTTGCCATGAGTCGGTTGCAACTTGATGGCACTTTTATTATTATTATTATAATATAATTAATATGAAAAAGTCCAGTATGTGTTGGTCCAAAACCCTGTGTGTTTTGACCTACCCCAGAAAGTCCTGTATGTGTTGGTCCAAAACCCTGTGTGTTTTGACCAACTCCAGAACATGCAACGAACATGAAATTGAGCAAACTTCAGAGGACGGCGGAAGACAGGAAGGCCTGGCGTGATCTGGTTCATGGGGTCGCGAAGTGTCGGACTCGACTGTGTGACTGAACAACAACAAGAACATGATGGCTCAGTTTGGCCCTACACAGATGATTTTCAAGCATACAGTCTGTTGACTCATGATGCCCTAGTGCCAGTGACTGTTCCTCAGGCCCAGAAGAGACCAACTGGTTGGGTCACTTTTGAAGAAGTAGAAGCAAATGTGAGGCCAATAGAAATTAAATGTTGATTACAAATGGACCTGGGAAGCCATTTATTTATTTTATGGTATTTTTTCTTCTTCTCCAAACTCAAATGCTCCAAGCAGCTTGCAAAGAAAGCATAAAATGCATTATTAATAGTAATAGTAAAGTGCCACCAAGTCACAACCAACTAATGTTGAACCCCCATGGAGTTTTCAAGGCAAGAGATGAGCAGAGGTGGTTTGCCATTGCCTGCCTTTGTGTAGCAACCCTGGACTTCCTTGGTGGTCTCCCAGCCAAGGACTATCCAGGGCTGACCCAGCTTAGCCTCCAAGATCTGACAAGCTTGAACTAATCTGGCCTATTCAGGCAGCTATTAAATACATTATGATGCATTAAAACCGGTAAAATCATTAAATGTATGATCAGTGAAGTCAATACATTAGAGAAAACAGCAGCATAAAACTGGATTAAAACAATTCAGTGAGCAGGAGTCAGTCCAATGAACTGAAACAATATCGCACTGATAAGGATATAGCGCAATTTGGACAATTCAGCAACAAAAACCAAGGGCAAAAAGCAAAGGATAAAACACAAAATAATTGACTTGAACTTTCAAAATTCCTGCTCCCCCAAGAATTGGATTTGCACTGGATTTATGTTAGTATATGAAGGGAATCACACAGAGGAAGATGCTTTGTGATGTATATGGGGTATGTGAGGACAGTGCTGCTGAATGGACATTCAGGCCAAGAGCGGACAAGAGCTATGCTCTTCTTCCCTGCCACCTAGATTAAGGCCAAAGATTGGTAGCATGGCAGTCTGTGCAAAGACACAAGCCTTCAGGATTCCCTCAGTGGCAAGTTGCCTGGACTGACCGAACATTGCAGAACTGGGAGCTTTGTAGCAGAATGTAGGCATCCCCAATCCCTAGGATCACCGGGCTAGGAGTGTTCTGGCCTCTTTATCTCAGGTACAAGTGCCACATTTCATTTGCCTTTTCCAACTGTCTGATCCACTTGGACTCCCAGTTAGATCACTGTATTTTCCCTTTCACCTGTCCAGGGATGGGCCTCAGCAAACAGCCCCACAGCTGGGTGTTTTTACAGGGACTTCAGCAAAGAAAGCCACCCAGAGCTCTTCCAATCAGGTCCTCCTGAAATTCTACAGCGATGCAGCCAACGGAGGGGTCTTTGCCATCCATTTCTATGGTTTGTACCTAAATTTCTAGGGTTCAAGACCTGCATTTTGCTGAACTGGATGTATTACAATAAAATTGGATGTAATACAATAAAATTATTATATGTAATTGTGGTATGATACTGTATTATCTGGCACACAGCAACTTTTCTCTGATGAGTCTAGGCCTGTACAGTCTTTATTCACTTATTTACATCACCATTTACAAACTGTGTTTTCTGCGAAAGGAGAGCACCCAAAGAGGTGTACAAGAAGAAAAAAAATCTAGAGCCACCAAAACAATGCCCATAATTAATAAAATCAGCACCACCAGTCTTCAGAAGGATAATCAACACCATACAAGCTGCAACAGGCAAATGAAACAAAAAACAGAGTTTAAATGGCAACCATGTCTACAGGCCTTTGATTAACCTGGTAGGCTTTGGAAAAAGCCAGGTCTCCCCAAATGTTGATTACAGCCTCCCTGCTTATTCTTAAATGTTCAAATGTCTTGCATGGACCTTGAATGTACATGTTCATGCTGTAACGTGTTGTTCATCACCTTCTCAGCTTATCAGCTTTCAAGATGTCAGCCTCCAACCATGGTCCCCAATGCCGAAATTATCACCGAAAATGAGGACTTCAACATAGGTACCAACTGCATGCTCACGTTTGCAAAATACTCTGCTCCCAAATGTTCCCTTCCATTCCTAATTGGGTCTCTTCCTCCTGTCTTCCCTCTGCTCCCCACCTCATGCAGCATGTCCCCTTCAGGGCATGTTTGCTGTACAAGTCAGAACCTTATTGAAGTGCCATGATACCCAGCCAAAGGAATCTTGGAAGGTGTGGGTTTTGTTTTTGAGAAGAAGAGCTGTTACTAAAATTGCACTTGAGGCTGTGTGGGGGGGAAATAACCCTCCCTGAAGGTTGAAAATTAGCACAGAAGGTTCACAAAGTGTAGAAATGACCTTTCCTCTCATCCAAGTTTTGGGCATTTCTTCTTCTGTACCCTCTTCTCCAGGTGACATCATTCGGTACCGATGTCTTCCTGGCTTCATCCTGGATGGAAACGAAATCCTGACATGCAGGCTCAGTACCCACCTCCAGTTTGAAGGGCCTCCTCCAACGTGCGAAGGTAGGCGGCTTTAGGCTCCTTAAAGGTCTAGTGTGCACATGCAGTAGAAGGTGACAGAAATGGTAGCCAGCAAACAGCTGGTTGCCCTCAGAAGTGGTTTTGATAGGATCCACCTGTGGCTTTCAGCAATGATAGCTAGGAATGGAAATGATATGTTCAGAGGTGGGGTCTATATGGACAACAAGAAAACTGGCAATAGTTTGCTCTTTCATGACTATAGATATCTGTCTGTTTGCTGTTATAAGGATAATACCAAACTCAAGGGGCCCTTAGTATGATTTTAGCAAGTCTCTGACTTTTAGCCATCTCTGACTTTAGAGATTTTGTTGTTTACCCAAGTCCCAGGGAGGGACAGGGACAAGGGTTCCATACATGCCATTCAACTGGGATGTGCTTGTAGGGCATTCTTCTCCAACAGATTTTCACATTATAACAACTTCTTAATTGAACACTAAGATTTCAAGGTGTATTTGTATCAGAATGAAGGATTTGAGTAAGGTAGATGGTGCAATAGTTCAGTTCAGTTCAATTTATTGCATATGGCCAATGGCCGTTACAAATACAATGCAATACAATACAATGCAATAAAAGTTATAAAATACAGAATAGGATCTGCATTAAAACACAGGAAATAAAAATATATGTGTGTCTAGCATGAAACTGATTACAAGCTTAAAATAATACAAGATAAAATAGTACAAGATAAAAAGCCAGCGAAGCATACAAAATAAATATAAGGTTTGGGAAAATTTACTAAAAAGGACCTTATATACCTTAACATAGCCTTGGCTATTTAGCAAGAGAAGAATTAATCAACTTAATTCGAATTTTCTTTGCCGCTAGGGCAAAGAGCGCAACCTTGTACAAATACTCTGGCTCCACTTCTGCAAGTAAAGTTATACCTTTTCCGGATGTAGTGCAGGGGCCTAATTTATCTAAGATGTAATTCTGAAGAGGGTGTCTGCTGGAGAGATTTGTGCGAATGGACTTGTAGGCATGAGAATGGAGAATCGGTACAGAGACATTAGTACAGATTGGGCTGCACAAAATCCTATGCAGTTGTAGGATGTAAATTGTGCGTTTTGAGGTCCCAAAAGTGCACGGTTCACCTTTTTCATACCTATTTGTGGTCGCTGCTCCTGTGGTGTATTACTGCTTTCCCCCCATTTTGATGAGGATTGTTTCTTCTTTACTGTGTGACACACACACACCCAACCACCAGGGATCACGTTATGATGAGATGGCCATACCGTACTAGGTGATGAAGTTTCCATGTGATGGCTATATGATAACACTGTGTAGCCAATTAGATTTTGGCTGTATTATGACCTTAGGATTCTCTGTAACCATTCAGTTTTGGCTCTGTGATGACATTATGATGCTATGTTTTCATGTTTTTTGGGGGGAGAAACATGCCTTCCCCTCCCCTTTCAGATCAATCCTAATTATGAACAAACAAACATACGAACACACCTGTGAATTTTGATGGGTCTCTATTTGTAACACTCTAATTACATTCAGGTGGGATATTAAGGGCCATTACATATTCAGGCAAACAAGCAGACCCGTTAACCTTTATTTATTGATTTTAATTTATAGTCAGCCCTTTCCTGAACGCTCGGGGAAGGTAGCAATTATATGGAAGAAAATGGGAAATTTCAATTAAAGCTCCATTTTCAAGGCGTTAAAGTAAAGTGAGCACTGAAATAAAGCACTAACCTGTTGGCCTAACCCAACCCGAGAAAGCCTGTCTGAATAGAAAGGTCTCCTCTGTGGTCAGAGGCAGACTGTGTCAGAGTGCCCTGCTGCTGAGCTTTCATAGAAGAAGAGTAGGTTTTTATACCCCATTTTTCTCTACCTTAAGGAATCTCAAAGCTGCTTGCAGTTGCCTTCCCTTCCTCTCCCCACAACAGGCACCTTGTGAGGCAGGTGGGGCTGAGAGTTCTGAGAGAACTGTGACTGGCCCAAGGTTAGCCAGCTGGCTGCATGTGGAAGAGTGGAGGATCAAATCTAGTTCTCCAGATTAGAGTCCACTGCTGATAACTGCTATACCATGCTGGCTCTGGCTGACCCTTGCTGGAAAGAGAATGTTGGACCACATTGGCCTTTGGTCTCCTCAAACACAGCAGTTCTATGCTCTTCTGTTTCCAAAAGATGCTCGGGCTTTGAAGAGCTTCCAAGAGGGGCATTTCAGACTTAAGCAGCTGCCAAGAAGGGCAGCTGTGCTTCCGTTGAGCTTGAACGTAAAGCACCCTGGGTAGCAGAGTTAAGAGAGCACACTTGCATGATGTTGGAGAATACAGTGAGGGATGAAGCAGCTTTTGAAATCTGAGTCAGGGCCAACCCTTTAAGGCAAGGGTCCCCAACCTTGTTGAGCCTGCATGCACCTTTGGAATTCTGATACCAGGTGGTGGGTGCAACAACAAATCGGCTGCCACAGAAGTTTGCAACAATCACAGAATGTTAGGAAGTGAGGTCATGCATAACTCTAATCATAACTCTTTCAACATTTCAGGCAAAAGCTCTCTTTTAACAGGCTGCCTTTTAAAAATGAAAATATTGTTTAAAAATGTTTTCTTGCATACACAGACAGTGTATGCTGCTGAAACAACTTTAAAAAAATCTGCCCGGCCAATCAGATCTCCAGTAACCAGTCAGAAGCCCTGCTGGGCAAAAGACCCACCTGTCCCTGCCCACTCTCTGAAAACATTTGACCAGCATCCAGAAATGTGTCAGCGGGTGGCACAGTGGGGACCTTGCCTTAAGGGGATAATCACAGTTAACTTGTGCTAGTACCAACAATATCTTGGTCTCTTCTGTTCCTTCAGCCCAGTGCCCAATGAACAAGGTCCTGACAGACTCCTGGGGGGTGATCCTGAGCCCAGCTGCCACAGGCAGCTACCCCCACTTCCAGACTTGCTCTTGGGTGATCAGAGTGGAGCCTGACTATAACATCTCCCTCACCGTTGACTATTTCTTGAGCGAGAAGCAGTACGATGAGTTTGGGATCTTCGATGGTGAGTCACCCATATCATTCTGGGGTAGTGTTGACCAGTTCGGTTCTTTAAGCCATGTAAATTTGTAGAAGCTAGGGAAAGCAATTATTTAGAGCATTATGAATAGTATCAAGAGAGTGGATGGAATCGTTTTTTCTCCTTGTAATCTTCTCATATGGGGTCACTGACGCTAATTTGGGAGGAAACTCAAGACAGTGGGAAGGAGGAAGTTCCTCATAATGATGCACAAATCTGTGCCCTGTGTGAACCCTTGGCTGAATTGGAATCACACAGTCGGAGTCCAGCAAGTTAGATGAATATCTGTTTATTGCAATTAAAACAGGAAATACAGGGTTGAGTACCTTACAGCACTTAGCAACACCAAGCTGTATTCTGCCTTAACCAGGAAGGGCAGAGGGTCTTATACCCCAAATGACATCACATATAATTTACACATTCAAGGACCTTTAATTAGTACCAAGCAGTTACCATCAAAGGATGAGATGGTTAGACAGTGTCATCGATGCAACGAACATGAAGTTGAGCAAACTTCAGAGCATGGCGGAAGACCGGAAGGCCTGGCGGGAGCTGGTCCATGGGGTCGCAAAGAGTCGGACTCGACTGTGCGACTGAACAACAAGAAGTTAACATCATAAAAGCATCATTTGACTAAACCTTACTGTTGGTCTCTCCTGATACTGGTCATGGATGTCAGTGATTGCATTTGTTTATCTGGTCTTCAGAACAATGGGAACATTAAAGAACTCTGGGACCCTTTCTGGCCTCGCTTATAGAGAGCTAGCTGATAAGGACTATGATTCACATTAAACTTGGCTCTTGGTGTCCTTGCAACTCCTAATTCCATCTACAAAGGCTTGTTTTTTTTAAAAAAAAAATGCAATTATAAAATATATATGTTCCTGCTATAAGTTTCTCTATCTGGGTTACATACCAAGATCTGAATCTATTATGATTCAACTTTTAAAGGCACAGTGACAGCTGTCAATATATATATCAAAGAGAGAGTGTCAGAAATCACATTCAGAAATCACATTCTTTCTCCCTTGTCCTACAATCTCCCCTCTTGGTGAAATGACCACCCTAAGGCTTATTGCCACCATTAAGAGCTGTGTCTACTGGAACTGAGTACTCAGGATCCTCAGCCCAATACTTGGCAACCATCATCATTTGTTCAACTGTTGAGCTGGGACTTCTGGGAACCGCAGAAGCACAACAAGCTATTATGGTGGGGGTACATTGTATGCAAAGACAAATCCCAAAGATCAGTAAAATTCCTACCAGAACAAACGTTAAAACAGTATAAACAGTTGACCCCAAACCAGTGAACCAACTCCCAAACCAATCCCCCCACCCATGAGAAGGTATAATTCCTCTTGAAATGTCTTGGATATTCTTGATGTTTCGTCTAATAGAAGCTGAATGATTGCTCAGGTTCAAATAACACATGCCTTCAAATTCAACGCAGTTATGCCCTGCCCTGAGCAGCAGGTAGTCTATAGCCATTCTGTTCTGGATGGTAGCCTTTTCATTGTCATGGAGGTCTGCCAGCATACTTTCCAAAGCCTGGGATGTATCATTCATCAAATGGGTCAGTCTGCAGGCAAGGGGACCAATATTCTCAGAATTAATGGCGGCCAGGGCAGGGACCCCAACCAGGGATGTGACCAGGGCTGTAGATTCATTGGTGGAAAACAATCTCATCGAGGGGTCACATTTCTCATCGATCTCAGTATAGCTGCACTTTGAGTGGGAAAGTTGTGGTTTTCCAAGGAGTCAAGAAAGTTGTTAGGCGACCATAGGCACAAGGGTCGCCCAGAATGTTGCCGGGCACATAGGAATAAGCAACTAATCCACAAAACAGGAAACATCCTTTAGAGAGTGTAGTGTGCCAGGCATAAGACGGAGTGGATTCTGTCTGATTACACTCGAGTTGATGGTTGGTGACGTTGAGGCAGGTAGATGTACATCCCTTGAAAAACAGGCAGAGGTCAGCAGGTATGACTCTTGTGATTTTGACAGCAAACATGTTTTTGGTGAGTAGATGGACTTGGTTGCCCCATTCTGGGTTGGTGTTGAGGGTTGGACCGTGATGGTCCATCAAGCTGGGTGGAATAGTTTCTAATTCAGGCTTATCAGGACTCTCCAAAGGCAGGATGCAAACAGGGCATGGGCATTGGTCCCGCTGTGAAGGCAAAATTCGCTGAGGTTCAGGCGTTGTGCAAGGCTGATCCAAACATTCTGGGAGTGGTCCCACTGGGAATCTTGGGCGATGACAAGCAGGCTACAGACGATCAAAAATCCGAACTGGGGCTGGAACCTCATTCTCTATTTTGGCGCAGTCTGAGCAGGCAGGTGGGGGTTGTCAGCCACCACAATTCGTCTAGGCTGAGATTGACTCTACGGAGCCTCTCCTCCCCCCCCAAAAAAAAGTATAACAGACTAAAAGCAGGATCTAGCTATAGGATATGTGGTTCACTGGCGGTGAAACAGATAGCGGAGACCGTCCAGGGCCTCAACACTTTAGGGTTCTTGTGAAGTAGGCACTTGGCTCTCAATGGTCACTCAAGTCCTGGTTTTCTCGAGACCTTCCGGTTGTGTCTCCTCTGCAGCAAATCTTAGATCTGGAGGGGACTGGTCTGTAGTGGCTGCAGAATATGAGGCTTTGTAGATGGAATTAGGAGTTCTTCGCCATACCATGTGGTGGTCTGTAGCTAAGACAGAACATCCATGGAAGTCATTGATCACCAACTGTGGTGGTTAAATGGAGCCTCTGTATTCAGAGCATGTTTATCTCTGAGTATCAGATGCTCAGACAGAAGGTCTGTTGGCATTCTGCTCATCTTGCAAGCTTAACATTGCCTGATTTTGATCCAGCAGGGATCTTAGCATGTTCTTTTGGGTCTGCTGTTTCCTACAGGTCCTTCGGGCCACAGTCCACTGCTGTTGTCCCTGAGTGGAAACTATTCAGCCCCTCTCACTGCAACCAGCACTGGGAATAGAGTCTACCTCCATTGGTCCTCTGACCATGCCTACAGCCAAAAGGGCTTCCGGATTCGCTACTCAGGTTAGTAAATGGCAGAGGAAGAAGGGTCAGGACTGATGCATGAAGCTGTGAAAGATGAGCAGAGAAATTTATGCACTGATTTTTTTTCCTGGTATAAATCTGTTGCTAGAATTCTTTCATCTCCCATTTCTTGCATATAAAAATAACCCATCAGTTTTCTTCAGCTCTCTTCCTGCTTTTTCTACTCTTGTGTAACCAAGCCGAACAACACGGTTTCCAATTGTGTCTCTTGCTTTTACTGTTTCAATAAATTGACATGAGGTTCCCCCCGTCCCCTTCAAAAATTGGTAACCTTGAGCATATTCCCTAACAACATGGGCAGGCTATTCTAATCTACAACAGAGGTTGTATTATTTAATCTGAACTTTTAAGATACAGTGATTTAACTCCAACCCCAGTATAGGATCAGATTTGCATGTGGCTATGATCTCCTGTGGAGGGAAATCTTTCAGGTTATGAAGAATGTGACAGGTATGAATTGCAGGCTCATGAGAAATCACTGGGCAGAAAAATAATACGTACAGTTTTCCTGACCCATATGTCTCCCTCCAACATATTATGGGCTCTTAAAACAAAACCAAGACAATTCCTGTATTTACACACCCCATTTCCCCAATCTGGTGCTTAGCTGCTTTCTGTCATGGGTTAGTCAGGACTTGGGAGAAGAGGAGCCCTGTGTAGCCAGCTCTGAATCAGCAGAAGCCAGCAAGCAGGAAGAGGAACTGCACGCTTGTCAGGACTCATAGCCAGAGCTATTTTGGGGCAGGAACGCACAGGAACGGAGCTCTGCCTGGCTTCAGAGTTGGCCACGCCCACTACAGACAAAACCTCTGTGTGCGTGGCTACAGAGGGAAGGCCTGGAGAGTGACTGAGGTGGGTGGGCCGGGGGGGGGGGCTGAAAGGATCAGGGAGGCATTTAAATGCCTCCCTGTGCCTTCCCCAGCCTGTCCAAGGGCCGGCTTGCCTGGGCTCCCCAGAGCCGCAGGGCACCCGGGCAAGCCAAGGGAAGGCATGTGGGTGTGGCCTAATATGCTAATGAGTTTCTGCTGATGGGTGTGGCCTATTATGCTAATGACTTCCTGCTGGGCTTTTTCTACCAAAAATGCCCTGCTCACAGCTAACAGCTGGTGCAGAGCCACCAACACCCTCCAGCCCTGACTCAACAGGTGAAACTAAGTTAGTCAGCCCTCCAGTTTCACCCACACCCTTGGAGCACTGCAAGACAGAGGCTATGAGCAGAACTAAAAGACAGACAACAAAGTGTTCACCTCCTGGCCCAACATCAGCTGCTTGAGTAGTTGCAGGATTACTTCCAAGCTAGTTGCAAATATGTTCCATGGGCATATGCCTATAAAAACCAGCCAAGGAAAGCTGTTAGGTGCCGAAGCAACAAGTCATCTTACTGCTGACTCTGCAACCACTGCACAAGACTTTGCCTCGCTCGTGTGACTCCCGGACTGGCTCTTGACCTGACCTCTCAGCTCTGTGATCTCTGCCAGTGAATAACCCTTGGACTGCCTGACAACCCTGGATAACCCTGCTTATTGGACAACCCTTCAGTAATTACTTGCTCATGTCTGGACTCTGGAACTGAACCCTAGACCTGGCTTTTTGCATTTGGACTCTTGCTACCCGCAAAGAACGCACATCTACTCTACCTGCCCCACAACATTTTCAGTGTTCAATCTTGGAGAGAGTAGTAATGTACATTCAGATATTCCTGAGTTAAAACTATACCCAGAATTTGCTGTTTTGTTTTGGCTTGGGATATCCAAAACAGCAAAAGGTGCAGTCCTGAAATTTTGGAATTCCTGAAGATGGGCATCCAGAGCTGGATCTCTGAAGTAGATCCCAGCCATTGGGCAGGTTCATACAGGAGCAGGCAATCCTTCAGGCTGCTTTAAAGATCAGAACCAACCACTTTGAATTGTGCCTGGAAATGAAATGGAAGCCACTAACTTTCTTTGAAAGCGGGGAAAAGGTGCTTCCAAGCATCCCTGGTTAGTCAACTATCTTGCGCTGTCATTCCAAAGACCAGCTGAAGCCTCCAGACAGGCAGCTCCACATACAGCACGCTGTTGTGAAGTAACATTACAGTTGTGTTCTGTGGCTATATTTCCTTAGCAAGCTGAGAATACTGTCTGAGCAATTTCTTTTTGTTTCTGCCACTTCTGTCTTGTGGGAAATGGCAATTTAAAAAAAAATCCTTCCCAGAAGAGGAATAGTAGCCAGTTTCCACATTATTATTTTCAGTGGTCTTGGTTTCATATGAACTTTAATTACTCTGTCTGTATAAAAGCAATTACAGAATGTTTGGCAAAGAGTTTCTTAAGATTAAAGAACCCGCTCTTGGAACGTAGCACATTTTAATTACTTAATGAAAAGCAATCAAACTTGGGACAGGAACACATATAAATGTGTCATAAATAAGTTAGTGCTGTTATTCGGTAAATGAATGAAATTAATATTTAATTGACAGAAAATATGTTCTTTTTCGTTGCTGAATGAACATTGGTGGCTTTGTTATTTTGTGTTGTTTGTGAGTTTCCTTTTTATCAGAGCATGTCCAATACAGGAACAGAGGAGAGTTATGCACTTCTAGTGGAGACTAATTGGAAAGAGATTAGGTCAGAGCAGTCAAGCATGCAAAGATGTACTGAGTTGCCCTCCTTTGTGGGTGGGTACTTTGGGGCTATGGGATCCCATAATTTTTTGCAGGTTTTTTAAACATTTTATTAATTGATTTTTCATGGCAGGGAATTTAGTATTATTCCTTGGTCACTCTCAGTGTCTATATTCTACCTGTCCAGCATTTCTTCACCATTCCCTTCCCTCTGTTCCACTAGTCCAAATTAATTCGGTGTTTTGCTGCCGAATTTGGGGTTCTTTGTTTCGGTATATACAGCATGTGGAGGGATTTTGATCGTCATTCCAGCAGAATAGTAATTTGCAATAGCACACTTTCCAAACTAATTTAGTTGCTCAAACCATTGCCAGGTACCTGTGCTCTCTCTGTAATGGCTTTCTGAATTATTGGTGGCTTGAATTGCATGACTTTAATAGTCTGAACAGCTTTTAATTGTCTTTGATTGCTTTCTGCAAGCTACCTGGGGATTGTTTTTTTGATGGAAGGGAGGGATAGAAATAAATTTCGATAATGTTGGACAAGCCTGAAAGACAAGCAATAAAGACAACAGAGCATTTTAGTTAGCCAAACCTGGGACATCATCATGAGCAGCGCAATGGATGTGTATATCATCTGCAATATTTATGGCTCTTGTAAGCATAAAATGAGGAAACAAAACGGGTCCCTGTCCCAAGGCACCCACAGTCTAAATTTCAACAAGAAGAGAGAAAAACTTAGGGTGGTGTGGGAAGGGAGAGATTGAAGAAATGTAGGAATATATACACAAGTGCAGTTCCTTGTACAATGATATATTTATTTATTTTACTTCATTTGTACCCCACCTTTTTCCCCAGTAGGGACCCAAGGTGGCGTACAGCATTCTACCATTCTCTATTTTGTCCTCACAACAAACCTGTAAAGGTGGGCTAGGCTGAAAGTGTGACTATCCAAAGTTACCCAGCAAGCTCCCAAGGCAGAGTGGGGGATTCAAACCTGGGTCTCCCAGATGCTGTTCTGATACTCTAACCACTACACCACACTGGTTAAGACAAACATTTCTTTGAAGAGGTGAGATTTGAGAAGGGGAGAGACAGGAGCCCTGGGCACAGTGCCCAAATTAGACGAGGGGATCAGAGTCAAACATGACTGTTCCATCACCACCCTAGTACACATGACTTCCCACAATGGGCATCACATTTGGACAGAGGCATACATAAATATGTCCATTGTACATGATCCATACTCTTCACAGTGGGGATGTTAGAGATCATGCATATTGGGCCTTCATGCATTTCGGCCCTGCCGCACATACATCTCTATTTGCCCAGGGTGTTTTCTACGTAGCCCATCAGGCAGGTCCAGGAGCCAGGTACGCATATTGCAAAGTGCAGCCCCATTTCCCTCATTGCAGAGTTCTATCATCTGTGCATGAGGCGGAGGGAAATGCAGGATGAACATGAGCATGCATGTGTCTATGTATCTTCATACTCTTCAAACTTGATTTAATAATTTTGAGCATGTACCTTTCGTCCTTCATTTAGCCCCCTACTGCAGCCTCCCTCCACCTCCTTTCCATGGCTCCATCCTTAGCCACACTGGCCTGCAGCCAGGAAGCACCATCCGGTTCAGTTGCGACCCTGGATACCGTCTCATCGGCCACAGCATCACCACCTGTGTGAGACACCCTCAACGTTACTACCACTGGAATGAAGCCATCCCGCTGTGCCAAGGTGGGCAGAATCAAATTGATGTTATTAGAATACTATCAGCATTCAAGGTGTCCCTTTGAAACGTCTTGCAATGAAATGGTTCTCGGCCTTGAGTTTATCCTGAAAATTTGGAGACAAAGCAGGCAGTTGTGGAGGAAAATGGTAATGGAGCTGAGGTGAATAATAGCCATACTTTCAAGTTAAATCTATGACATGAAGGCATAGGGATACAGGTAGGGGGTATAGCTCGGTGGTAGAGCATCTGTTTGACATGCTGAAGGTCCCAGGTTCAGCCCCTGGCATCTCCTGTTAAAAGGCTCAGACAGCAGGTGGTGTGAAAAACTTCTACCTGAGAGCCACTGCCAGTAGGAATAAACAAGACTGGCCTTGGTAGACGGATGGTCTGACTCAGCATAAGACAAGTTTCATATATTTATAATAATTTTATTTATTAGGACTTGCAACTTTTTACTTTGTCCTAGAGGTTGTGAGTGGGCAGCTATGAGCGAGACATTAAATTGCAGTAAGGAGAAGGATCTGTAACGGTAGTATTCTCGTGTGCCCAGTGATGCATTCACAACACATCTTTTGTCCCCAGCTTTTCCACGAAAACAATTAATTTGCGTTTCTGCTGCTTGGCTACTTTTCGCTGTCTCCATTTTCAAAAATATCTCTGTAACCATGAGAACCAGAAACTTAAAAAAAGAAAAAAAGAAAGAAAAAGTAACAGCCTTCCTCATGGCTGGCACAAGATTTCACATAGCTGCCTCCAGTGAAAGCATGATATGATACCACGGGAACGTGGCCTTTCTGGGTAAGGGTCTTTCCTCGGTGCCAAAGGTGCAAATTGCTGCCTTTGGGATGAGGCATGAATCAGAATATTGAACAGCAACACACCATTTTGAGGCCTGTCCCACTTCCTGGGGAGGGGCTGTGGCTCACTGGCGGAGCCTCTGCTTGGCCTGCAGAAGGGTAGTTCAGGAGGTTTGAGGGTTAGGATATCCTGGTAGGGCTTAGAGTAGCTAGTTGACAAACTGTATATTAGAGAGCCATTAGGTTACTTTTTGTACTATAGGGAATTAGATAGTGGAAAGAGCAAGGAGCTACTGATTTAACCTGACGCTGTTGGAAACAGCCTTGGTGGAGGAGCTGCCTAGTGTAGCCAATACCAGAAGTCAGTGGCTGGGGCATAGACCGGCGGATACAGCAATGCTGGCGCAGCAGATTCCGGTGCTGTTGGGGAGGGGAAAGTTTAGCAGTGGGTCTAGGCAAAAGATCAAGGGAAGGGCCCTGAGAAAAAGTATGGCTCGGTGCCCTTCCAGCCTACGACCCATCCCAAGGGAGGTCAGCAGTGGGACTCGGAAGATGAACCCCTCTCTGTCATTGGTGTTATGTAATGCCAGGTCCATCAACAACAAGATGACAGTCCTCCAGGACTTCGTCATGGAACAACAAGCGGACTTGGCATGCATGTGTCACGGCAGGACCAGGGGGCGTGACGCAAGCAAGCAAAAGTCCAGGAACAGTCCGAGGTCAAGCCGGGCAAATCAGGTAGCAAGGTTCAAGCAGGTTTAAATCACAGTCCAAAAGCAGGGTCAGACATACCAAAGTTTCAAGTCCATAAATCACAACAATACCAGAGGAGTCAGAGATGAACGCAGGGTCAACAAAGCCAAAGGTCAAAAGCCGAGGATCAAGCCGAGAAGAATTCCACAAGGTCTGGAGCAGAGATGCAAGGATTCAGGTCCTGAACAAACGACGTTGCCAGCACAAATGACTGCTGGCAACAGACTTGCATATATACAGTGCTAGCTAATCAACTCATTAGCTAGCCAGGAGTGAGGACAGGATCCTGTCAGTAATCAGGGCTAAGAGATCTTCTGGCACGCATGCGTGCATTCTGCCTTCGCTCTCTCAGCTGTTGTCTTCTTACATTCCTGAGCCTGGTTACAGGTGGAGGCGAGTCTGATGATGAATTACTGGGCTGCAGCAGAGACTGATCCCTTGCAGGTGTTCCCTGGGAGGCTCTATCCTCCTCACCACTTAGATAGCTTTCAGCTACAGGATCCAGTCTTTGCCTTTCTGCTGCAGTACTGTCCTCAGGAGCCTGTTCAGGGTCCTCAGGAGCCTGTTCAGGGGCATCAGCAAAGGCAGGCATGACATCAGCAGGGGCAGGCATGACAATCGGGAGCTTCAGACCCTGGTGTCGCGCCAGGCTTCAAGTTGCCAGTTACCCCCTGCTTACACTGCAAGCCTCCCGCTTTCGCGGAAGAACTTGCCTTCTGGATCGTCTCCCGTCCGTCCATCCACACGTGGCCCTCTTCTCCGTATCAACTCTCCTCCTGTCTTGTTGGCCTTCATCTCCCAGTTTGCCTCAGTCTGGGGGAGAGACAAAGAGTAGGACTGAAAGGCCCGTCTGAGGCCTCAGGGCCCGTAGATCCCCATGCACCAGGCCGGGCATACGCTCGATTTGATCTTCATTGCGGGGATTACAGTGGACCGGATTACTGCAATGGCAATACCATGGTCGGACCACTACTCCCTGAAGGCCCATCTGAATGTCCCACCCCGACCCTGTTTAGGCGGCGAGCAGATTTTAGCTCGCCCGTGGAGCCAAATGGACCATGTACGGCTTCAGATGGCTCTGCAGGATGCGATACCCCCTGGCGGCTCATTAGATGAGCTTG